CTCTGGTCTGGCTAGAGCGAGCTGAGCCCTGCTGCCTTCCCCAGCTCTAGGAGGGCTGAAATGGAGCCCTGGAGGACAAAGCAGCAGCAGAGCGTGGAGGCTGGGGCTGGAGAGAGCGAGCACCGCAAGCGCAAGTGGAGGGAAAGCCTCAGCAGCCCAGCGTTGGAGCAGCCGGCTGCTAATGGCGTCCACGCTGCGGACGGCACCCGAGGTATGACCGTGTGCCTTCACCCTGCCTGGTGCCTGGCAGGGGAGAGCTGGCTGCTTGTCTGCCCACACAGCCCCTCAGGGCACTGGTGTCCAGTCCCCAGTGCTTGCTGGTCCCCAGAACTGCCTGATGGTGCCTGTCTTCCTGACCCCGTCCTCGGCTGACCTGCCCGCAGCCCTGCGTGCTGCTCATGCAGGAGAGCTGCCCAGGTGTACCCTGGATAAGGGTGTGCTCCTCTCCTGACTTTTTGGGGACAAGCCCCTCAAGGGGTGAAGATTTGCCCCCAGTTCCTCCCCAGTGTGCCCAAACACCCTGCACCATCAGGACCTCGTTTGTCCTGAGAGTGTTTCCTGGGGCGAGATCTGCCTCTGAGATGGAGCGACACAGGAGCTCCCTGTGCTCCCTCCGGCTCATCCTCCCCCCTCCTGTTTCTGCAGCGGCAGCGTGTGCCTGGGACAGCCAGGCTGGAGACGGGTACAGGCGCTGCCCAGCTGCCCTGGGCCCCGAGCCTGGCCGTGGGGCTGGCACAGCACCTGGGAGCCAGGAGGAGTCCAGCGTGGTGGAGGAACTGCTCAGGAACTCCTTGGACAAGGCTTATGGCAAACAAGGTAATCCCTGCGCGCCTGGGTGGCTCCCCTGCCTCGAGCCCTGGGTGCGGGCAGAGCCCTCCGTGCTCTGCCAGGGCCTGGGCTCTCCCCCCAGCACCAGCGCGGGCACCTGGGGGGGGCTTCTGGAACCGGGCAAAGGCACCTGGCCAGGGGGGTGTTGGGGGTGCCGCAGGGTGGGGTGCTGGCAGGCAGAGATCTCAGCTGTCAGCCAGGATGCCATTCGGGACGCAGCGTGGGCCCGGAGCGAGACGATCATCGATGAGTGGGACGAGGAGTTTGACAGAGGGAAGGTGGGTGCTGGCTGCGTCCCAGGCTGGGGTGGGTGCGGGGAGGCAGGGGACTCTGCGATCTGACCACAAGAGCCTTCCTGCCTCTGCACAGGTAAAGAAGGTTAAAAAACCTAAGCGGGAGCGGAGGAGACACTTCAACCCCTTCCAGCAGCTGCAGAGCAAGCGCAACTTCTGGTCGGTGACGCATCCTGCCAAGGTGGCCAGCCTGAGCTATCGGCTCTGAGGTGAGTGAGCACAGGGGGGCAGGGAGGGGGGCGGCTGCCTGGTGGGGGGCTAACGCCGCTCCTTTCCTCCCAGGTGGAGATCTGTGTCCCCCAGCCAGCGAGCGGAGCAGTCTCTGGTCAAGGACCGGTGGGGGAGCGCTGTCCTGGGAGCTGCTGCTGGACCCTGCTGCGGAGGGGCGTGGGGGGGAGGCTGGTCCCGCGTGTCTCCAGGGCCCCAGCCCCGGGTGTCATGCCGTGCTTGGTGTCCCCTGCCTTCCCCTTCGGGGAGCTGCTCTCCCTGGGGTCCCTGGGGGCTGGGGCTGCTTCCCTCCGCTCTCCAGCTGAGGAGTGGGGTGAGGGACGCCCACTCCCCTGCCTTGTCCAGGCTCCTCTGCCAGCTCCTCTGTGCCTCTGCCCGGGGCTGGAGCAGCCCCTTCCCCCC